GCCCCTGCTTGCCGCTGCTGTGCGAAGCCCCGCACGGCCGCTGCCTGTCCTGTGGCTTAAATTCGAGGTTGGCCGAGCGGTGGGAACGGGGTTGCGCCTCCCGGGGTGGTGCGGCACCCAGCCGCAATCGGAAGGGCTTGCTTGGCCTCTCCTCGCTCAGCGTACGAGGCGAGTATTGAATTTTCTAATCGCAAAGGTGTCTCCTCTTGTTAGCGTCTAAGGGTTCCAAAGGAGGGCGGGGAATCGGCACCACGCTTCCAGCATCGTGTTCTGTTTTCTGCAAAACCTTGTATAGAAGTGGTAGAATTTTTTTCCCAAATGCCTGTAATTGCTCTGCTGCTTTTATTGTGCTTTCTTGAGGCTTTTTTTTTTTTTCTTTTTTCATTTCATAATGCTGCTGAAAGTGTCCAGGTTATGTTGGGAGGGAAATTGGAGGGTAGAGTGAAAAAAAAAAAATCTCAACTTCAGAGCTGTGAAATAACCGTACACCTGTGGTGACCGTTATCCCAGCTAATTTAAGCCTCACCAGACCTTCCCCAGCCAACCTGAGCAGCCTGTACAACTGTGTGTGCATCTCATTTGGTTTCCGCATAAGAGGGTGCCTGGCGAACTGCTGCTCTTTCGTGTTCAGCGGGGTGAAGCTGGGCGCACTGAATTGAAACACCCCAATCTGGGCTTCCTCACCTCTTCCTCCCCAGGCCGGGGGGGGCAGCGAAAGGGGCTGCTGCGCTTTGCAGCCGTTACTGGCAGAGGGGATGGGGTTGGACGCCTCAGTGAGGCCACTTTGGAGTGCCATGGGCTATGCCATCAGGCATCCTTCATACCCTCCTTTCCTGCCTTGAGGTCCCACGCCCCCCCAAGAGCAGCCGATAAGCTGGTGGAGCAGAGGAATACGGGGCTGGGAGCGTGATGCAGGTCACGGGCAGCCACCCGCTCGCTTGTGCATCTCTGTTCAGCTGTTGGGACACAGGTGCGGTGCAAGGTGCCCCTTTTTGCCGCTCCTCATCCATGGGCGGCTCTGGAAGACTTCGCAAAACTGGGCACATATGCATCCCTATAGATACCTACACCTATAGTAGGTGTATGTATCGATCTCTACTGTGGCTCTTTGGGAGCGGACACCCCGGGGCCCCGCTCGCCCCAGCTGTGCGCCACCCAGGGCTCACAGCTGCGGGCAGAAAGCGAGAGCGAGCTGGGGGAGAAGTGAAAGCCGCAAGCCATTTCCATTGTCCGAAGGCAGATGATATGCAAAGCACAAGGAGTGAAAGTGAACCAGGTCAGCAGAAATCACGTTATTAAAATGAAGGTGAGGCTTACAGCCTTTGGGCCGCTGGCTGTAACAAGGGAAGTTTTGAGGACCTTAACACCAGCCTGACATGACCGTTCGCTCAAGAGCTGGGGAGCTCACGTTTGCTTCCCATCGAAGAAAAACTGTGTTCATTCCTCCAGAGAGCTGTCGGGCGAGCCTCACTGAGACGCTGACTTATTGGTTATTTATTCCTGCAAAATATTCTTGTGCTTTCTGCTGAAGATTAATTCTTACAGGAAAGCCGTTAAGAATATGCAAAGGGTTATAATTAGTGCCTGTTTCTGCATGGCTTGTGAGTGGCATCCCGGCAAAAGAACAGAGGCGGATTTGGTGCTGGAGGGGCTGCGAGCCCCAGCTCAGCTCTGACCGAGGTGCCAAGCTGTTCCCCCCCCCTTGCAGGGGGAGAAGCCACTTCAGCAGGGCTCCACAGAGCCCCTCTCTCAAGCTGTGGGGATGCTCGTGGTCCCCGTGACGTGGCTCTGACCTGGGGTGTTCATCTGTCTCATTCAAAAGGATGCCGACTCCTCCGAGCGGGTCCTCATGGACATGCGCTGGGGCCTGATTCCCTCCTGGTTCAAAAAGGACGACCCCTCCAAAATGCAGTTTAATACTTCCAACTGCCGCAGCGATACCATGCTGAAGAAGTCCTCCTACAAGGTGAGTCGCTGCTGTCTTTGTGTCCAGCTTGAAAGAGATCTTGCAGTCGGCAAAACCAGAGCTGAGGCCTCTCCCTAGCGAGTACCGGTCGCTGTTTGCCCGCTGCACAGGGGAGTAAGAGCCTGTACTGCAGAGCTGGTGGATTTCATTAAGATAGAAGAACTGAGAGGGTTGTCGCTGGTGAAGCTCATCTTTCATCACAGCGGTGGCGCTTGTGCACCCTGTGGGGCAGTTTGGGGGAACCCCGGGTGGGAGCGAGCGGGCTGGGTGGTCCCGGGAGCCCCCGTCCTCCATCACAGGCTGCCCAAGGCTGCTGCTCACCGCTTGCCTGTGTTTTCTCTCCCCCAGGGCGCTCTCCTCAAGGGCAAGCGCTGCGTGGTCCTGGCAGATGGCTTCTACGAGTGGCAGCAGCATGGCGGGGGGAACCAGCCGTATTTCATTTACTTCCCCCAGAGCAAAGATGCTGCGGTACGGAGTCCCTTGCTGTGTCTGAATGCTCACACCCAGCTCTGAACCCTCGTTCCTTCCAGCTGCCTGGGGAAAAGTCCCCTTCCCTCCAGCTGTGCCCCTCTCTGGGCATCTCTGTTTCCCAATGGGGCTCCATCCTGCGGTGGGCTTGGCATCCCTCTGCGGCCGGCGGTCCCTGCTGCTGAGGTCCCCTGGCTGTAAACTGTGCCACAGGCTCCCCGCCGCCACGCTCACTGCTCCCCACATGCCGGATATTTGCATGGGCGGGCGATGTGTCTCACAGGGGACTGGGCTGGGAGTTTCGCTACCTCTTTCACTTGGCTGAGCCAGCGGCTGGGATGTTCAGAAGGGGAGGAGGGCACTGGCTTGCCTGTGGGAAGATGAGGGTCCTGGTACCTCTCCTGGAGTTACCTCAAATTAGAAGGGCTCCTGGAAAGCCCTCAAATTAGTTCAGTTCATGACTTAGATCTGAGTCATTGGCCTGTGGTGGCACTGACAAGTTTGCGATGCTTTGGCTGCCCATCGGTTGGCACTGACTGGGGCCATGGGGCCGGCCTCTCCTGCAGGCTGAGGAGAAGGAGGCAGATGAGGAATGGAGAGGCTGGAGGTTGCTCACCATGGCTGGGATTTTTGACTGCTGGGAGCCACCAGCGGGAGGAGAAATGCTGTACACTTACACCATCATCACCGTGGATGCCTCCAAGGATGTGAGCTTCATCCATCACAGGCATGTGAGAGTGGGCAGATGACTGCAGGGTGGTGGGAGGGTGAGCAAGGAAACCTTCACCTCTGAATGCTGGTCCGGCAGCATGCAGGCAAGGAGTCCTGCCACTTCTTGATGCCCTTGAAGACAAATGCTACAACGTTACGGGCTCGTTACGGGTCACCGGCTCGTGCCCTTTCCATAAATCACTATCTTTGTGCCCTGGGGGGTGGCAGCTGGAGTTGGATCACTCTCCAGAGCTGGATTGCTCTCCGCCTAACTGGGGCCTGGCAGTCAACCCCTCTGCTGTTTCCAGCAAAGCAGCTACCCAGGCGAAACGCGCGCTTTGCCTTGCAGAAGAGCATCCTGCTGCTTCGTTTTTCCCCCTGTTTCCCTCTGAGCTGCCAGCTCCTTGCTAGGTTAGGAGCCTGGCTTTTGCCACCCTGCTCTGCCATATCAGTCTTGGGCTTTGGCTCTGACTGTCTTGTCCCCTAGGATGCCAGCCATCCTGGATGGGGACGAGGCCATCAGGAAATGGCTGGACTTTGCTGAAGTGCCAACCCAAGAAGCGGTTAAACTCATCCAGCCCACGGAGAACATTGTCTTCCACCCAGTCTCCACCTTTGTCAACAGCGTCCGCAACAACACGCCCGAGTGTCTCGCACCCATCGAGCTGGGAGCCAAGAAGGTGAGGGCTGGCAGGGGCTTGGCAGGGGAGGGCTTGGTGGCAGTGACGTCCCTGAGCAGGGACGGTGCTGCCAGGCTGCCGGAGGGGCAGCAGCGGCAGGCAGTGTCCCCGGGGCATGCCTGCGCCTGATGCCGGAGTGCAGAGCCCTGAATGGAGTCCCTTCCCTCCGCCTCCAGAAAGAAACTGTCACCCTGTGCCAGGATTTCTCTGCCAAATGAGACAAATTCCATGTGAAATGGGGCTTGGAACAAGCCTGTTCCCAGCAGCCTTGGGAACTTCCCGCAGATGTGCCTGATTTGCAGGCAGGGCTGTGGCTCTAGCCTCCACATCCAGCTCTGGACCAGCTCTTGGAGTCGGCTGCCTGCCCTGCTCTCGATGTGCTTCTGACTTCTCTCCCACTGTCTTTTGTCTCTCCAGGAGGTCAAAGCCACCCCAAGCAGCAAAGTGATGCTGGGCTGGTTAAAAAACTCCCAGGAGGGCTCTCCCCAGAAGAATGAAAATGATTTGCCCAGGTGGACGAGTCAGTTCATCCACAGCCCTTCGCCCAAGAAAACCAGCGCAGATATCCTGCAGCAGTGGCTGGGGAAGGAGGGAGAGCCGGCTGCGAAGAAGCGCAAGGCTTAGGCACCATTTGGGATGGCTGGCCATCCTTTTCCCTCCTGATTTTCCTAAGCAGAATGAGGAACTTTTTTTTTTTTTTTTTTTTGAAGGCTTTGCTGTTGAGATTCTCCCAGCCTCTCAGGTGTTGATTCAATGCTCTAGGTTGTTGTCTCTGTTCTTCATGTTTTGTTAAAGGTTGGTGTTTGTCTTTAAAGGTTTTGGCTTTGTCTCGTGCTGATGGGAGTGGATATAACCTGCTGGCCTCCCTCCCTGGCAGGCACTCCTGCCAAGTGCAGATAAAGCCTTGAGAAGCATCTCGGCCTGCTGAGGAGTAGCTTCTGCCTTCTGACAGTGTTCACCATTCACGTTTCCTGTTTCCTTCTTCTTTTTTTTTTTTTTTTTAATTAAACTGATACCTCTTTTCCATTTAATTCCATATTGGTTCTGTGCAAATTCCTTTCCAATAGTCTCACCCTCAAAAGATGACTGCAGTATGGAGGAGCATGCAATAAATGCTAGGAGGAAACCCCAGGCTCAGGAAGATCTGCTGGAGTCATCCCGCTCTGCATCAGCGTTGCTACATGTATTCGTGGCTCCTAAACAGGGAGATATTTAAGTGGTGCCTGGGAGGAACTGGGCTTTGCTTGGGTTTCCCTGCGGGCAGCAGGGTGGGACAGCGTGTCTTGGTCACGTTGTTTGTACAATCATTTTGTTAATGGGATTTGAAGACTTAGAGAGGATTTTCTTGATCTGTGGAGGGAAGTGCTCTGCCGTGTTCATAAAGGTCATTCATTAAAGCCCGGATAACCAAAGTGCCATTACAGAACAGCATAGGGCAATTGTTTTTGAGGACAGGGATTTTGTAAACAGCCAGATGTGACAGATGAAAAGCCTTACACTGTGGGCCACATGCTGGAAAGCAGTACTTCATTTGTATTGGAAACAATAAAATGGGATGAAATGGTTGACTGCACAGTGCCCTTGTCCATGTGCCTGCGTCTCCCTTGCCCACCGCAGCCCCGTTGCTCCTTTTGGCAGACAGAGCTCGTATCTCTTCCATCTGCTGAGGGGGAGGCCACGATGAGCTGCTGAGCTCTCGGGGTACCAGCAGGGCCCTGTTGCTGGAGCATTTCCATTTGCCAGTGGAAGGTATTCCCCAGGGATTTATTTTGGGGCTCCTTGGGAATGATCTGTCCCTAGGGAGCTGCAGAGGCAGCCATAGCTGGGGCTCATCCCTGAGGAGGGACAGTGGAGCTGGGGCAGGAACAGCAGGCTGGGCACCTGGGGAGACCCGAGCCGTCACGGAGCCAAATCCACCTCCAAATCCCTCGCGTGCCACGGAGGCATCTGAGCCCAGAATGTCTCCTGGCTTACGGGAAGCTGCGGTGGGATTAGGATTTCTACCCAGAAAGCCTGTTGTTAGCTGGCTCCTCATCGCTCCCACGGTGACTTGAGGCGAGAGAGTTGCTGCATTAGCAGCTCCTGGCAGAATAAATAGGACTTCAGGTGCTGGGGCTGTCACCTCTGTGCCTGTCCTTGCAGGAGCCACAAGGGAGGTTTCTCCCCTGCCTCTGGGGTGAGCAGCTCAACTGCCCTGGCCTGCTCGGTGCTAACTGCAGCCTGGCTGTTCCAAAGGTCACCCGCTCATCTCAGATTCATTTCAGGTCTCCAGTTGCTGTGGAGGGAGTGGAGATACCGAGCGCAAGTGAGGGATGCTCCCTTTCCCTGCTCTGAGGAACGCAATCCTTCCCTCGGGGAAGCAGGGGCGATGCAAAGACGCAGGGTACAGATCATCTCCCCCCAGGCTGTGAGCACCAGCAGCACCATTGCCGAAAAAAAACTACGCTGAGGGTTTAATGAGGAGGTGTTAACTGGAGCCTGGCTGCTTACAGTGGTTGCTCCTACCTGGTGTGGGGGGGGTGCTCCGGAGGGGGTGAACCCCCCAATAGGAGCACACCCCCCGCCCGCAGGCCATGGCACCTTCCCAGGAGAGGCTGGGCTGGGGAGGAGGCTGTGGGTTTGGGCAAGGAAAAAGGGGCAGCTGGTGAGGAGCAGCGCTGCCGGGACACGCACGGGTGGAGGGGGGATTCCGGCCAACCCCCCCCCCC